CGTGTCGTGTCGTTTCGTCCCCCTGCCCCCCCACCTCTGCCCCCCCCCCGCCCAGGCTTCCCAGGGCAGCCCCCCTGAGCCTCGGACACCTTTGTGCAAGAGCCAGGGCACGCGTGCCACTTGTTTCTCCTCCCCTCGCCGCATCGCCCTGGCTCAACCATGCTGCTCGGCTGAGCAGCCCTCGCGCGGGGGCCTCTGGCCCCGAGGTCGCTGAGGGCTTGCTCTGTTTAGCGCGGTTGGGCGTCGACGGCGCTACCGCGATTCCGCCCCCGCCCAGCTGGGGCGCTCCCGCGCACGAGACGCCCGACTTGCCGAGGTTGGCGACCACGGCGCAGCGCCCTCGCCTCCCTCTTGGGCTCGACCCTCCACCGCTTCCCAGGCGCTTGCACCTGGACCCGTGGCTTCGCTGGTTATAGGAGGGCGCTCCGCCCCTCGGGGGGCCACTCGCCACTCTCGCCGACGCGGAGGCCGGCGCTCGCGCGCCCCCGCTGGCGCCCCAGATCGGCATCGCCACGGCATGCGGGGATCCTCTGCTGGGAGGCGACGACTCGCAGTGGACCGCAACCGCTCCAGGCGATTCGCCCCCGCTGCCGCGCAGCGGCCCCCCGCCGTCGATGCACTCGCGGGGCCCGCCCACGGGCTTCGGGGCTCAGGGCGCGGCTCCGCCACCGGGCCTCGCCGGCTTGGAAGCTCGCGCTCGCGCGCCGCCTCGGGTCGACCCCCGCGCGCCCCTTGCCGCGGAAGGGGGGCGCAGGGGTCTGCCGCGCGCCGGGTAGCACAGCCGCCTGGGCGCTCCACGCCCGCCGTCGGTGACCGCGCAGTCGGCGGCGCCGCCCTGAGCGCGGAGTCGCCTCCAGTCGGCGGCGACTCGCCCTCCCGCGTCGGACGGGCGAGGCCGCCGCCGGGCCTCGCCGACCCATCGGGCATAGCCAGGGCCCCAGGTGAGGGGGGCCGGTTAGTGGTTGGGCCCTGGAGCCCTGGAATTGGCCAGGATCATTGAGCCAGGTCCGTAGCTGGTGTTTTTTTTCGGGCGGCGGCAGTTCCGGCTCGTGGAACGGGGCGGGGGGGGGGGGCGCCCCCCAGCACGCATCGCTGGACCAGGTTCCGCTAAACCCAGTTCTGCCAACGCCCGAACCCAGAGGCAGGAGTTCATGCGACCCCTGCGCTCTACTGTAGTCACTCTGGGCGGACGGTGCCTGTGACTTCGTCTGGTTTGGTGATCCTGGCGGGATCTCGCTGCCCACTAACCTGACCGGCGGCGTCGGCCCGCTGGCCGCAGGGAATCCGTCGTCGCTTCTGGGCGCCCGCGACGTGCTGCAGTCGCTCGGGCTAGTCAGGGACCCCCCCCTCGTCGCCGCTGGCCCCGCCGCGACACGCCGGCGACGGCGCCGACGCCGACGCCGCGGGACAGATGCGACGGCGCCCGCCGCCGCCGCCGCTCTCTCTCGGGCAGCTCTCACACCGGACGTTGGCCGCGCCGCCGCCTCGCCCGCGGCCTCCGCGCACGCAACCGGTCGACGCGGGCTGGCCCCAGCCGCCGTTCCGAGGAGCTCCTGCTGCCCTTGCGGGGCCTCCAGCGAGCGGCGCGGCTCGCCGGCGCCCCGGCGACTTGCCGCGGTCCATCGGGGCACGCGCAGCGCGCAGCGCCTCCTGCGAGCGGGGCCGCGGGCTCGGGCCCCCGCGACCTGCCGCGGTCGGCCGGGGCACGCGGGGCCACCCCCGCGACCCGGGGTCCCGACCCGGCCCGCTACCGGATTCCGTGCGAGGTGCGTTGGAATGGCGGGGCGGAGTCTCGAGCCTTCGAGGAGCCTCCAAGGGTTCGTTGCTTTTGTTCTGCCAGTGTGCTGAGGAGGATGGGGGCGCGCGCGTGGGCACGGAGCCCTGCTCCTCCTTCTCCTCCTCCTCCTCCTTCTCCTCTTCCTCCTCCTCCTCCTCCTCCTCCTCCTCCTCCTCCTCCTCCTCCTCCTCCTCCTCCTCCTCCTCCTCCTCCTCCTCCTCCTTCCTCCTCCTCCTCCTCCTCCTCCTCCTCCTCCTCCTCCTCCTTCCCGTCATCTTCGTTCCGCCCCCCCCTGCCCCGTCCTCGCCCTCCTCGTCGCCCCCTTCGTCAGGAGGCCCAGCTGGCTGCGGCCCCCCACCCGCCGGATGGGCCAGCGACGCCGGCGGTCCGTGAACGGGGCGGAGCGACAACGCAGCGGCGGAGGGGCGCGCAGGCTCTCCTCTCCGACAGGGGGAGTGGGGAGGGAGGGCAGGGCCCAGGCGATCAGCGCTTCGAGAAGCAGCACGGCGGACGTGTCTCGTTACTTTCGCCCGGGGGTGCCGTCGCAGGGTCCCAGGGCCGCCACAAAAGAGATTGTTGCCCGAGGTGCGGGGCGGCCTCGGGGATCTCCGGGGGCCCCGTGCTGAAACCCGGGAGCCCCGTCCTGAGAAGTTCCAGACCGGAAGTGAGCTTGGCATCGCTCGGACGTGTGCATTTCTCTTTCGGCGAGGACCATCGAGGAGCATCCTGGATCGTTTGGCGAGAAAGCCACGCACGAAACCGAGAGAAGCACAGGGAATGGACGTCCGAGCGATGCCCAGGGTAGGGAGGGCGGGGATGCGAGGGCAGGGGAGGGAAGAGGCGCCAGGCAGGGAGGGAGGGGAAAGAAAGAGAGGGGAGGGAGGGACCGAGGAGGGGCGGAGGGAGGCCGGGAGGGGCACGGGAGACCAGGATGGGGTACCAGCTACCAACCGTATACCCCTCCTTCCTCTCTCCTCCTCCTCCTCCTCCTCCCTCCTCCTCCTCCTCCTCCTCCTACCTCCTCCTCCTCCTCCTCCTCCTCCTCCTCATCCACCTCCTCCTCCTCCTCTTCCTCCTCCTCCTCCTCCTCCTCCTCCTCGTCCTCCTCCCCTCTCCTCCTCGTCCTCCTCCTCTCCTCCTCCTCCTCCTCCTCCTCCTCGTCCTCCTCCTCCTCCTCCTCCTCTCCTCCTCCTCTCCTCCTCCTCCTCCTCCTCCTCCTCCTCCTCCTCCTCATCCTCATCCTCATCCTCCACGTCCTCGTCGTCCTCCTCCTTCTCCTCCTCCTCCTCCTCATCATCATCATCATCATCCTCCTCCTGGGGGTTCAGTGGCATCGCGGAGGCCCCAGGAGGTTCCAGGGATCCCCAGAGAACCCAGGAGCCGCAAGAAGTCCCCAGAGGCCTTAAGATGTTTGGGGGGCGTCCAGGGTTTCGGAGGTCTCTGCTCGCCTGGATGTCGGATTCCGCATTCGGAAAGTTGGAAGGTTTGAATGCACAAACGATTTGGAATTTCTGATGTTTTGAAAGCGTTGACCATTTCAATGGAAAAATCGCCTGTTCGGAGAATTGGCATGTCTTCCAAGTTAATATTTAAACAGATTATGAGGGGGATTAATGGTTCTCGGGATGTCTGGTCGCCTGTGGCTCGGACTCCTGAGGCCCCCGCAATTGCAAACAGAAACATTTCTGAACTCGGACAAATTCACCAGCACTGAAACACAACAAAACGCGTTTGAAAAATATGGTGTAAATTATGGGAGGTCTGGGGCGTTCTGGGTTCCGCTCACCCGAAGCTTGGACTCCCGAGGCCTTGGGAATTTCCAAAAACATGGCAAGTGGAATATGTTCGGCGGCTCCGAGAGTTTTTACACATTAGAAATGAATCGTGGGTGCTCGGGATTCTTGATCGCATGTGGTTTGAGCTCCCGAGGCCGTGGGGAATTTCAAACATGAGGGCTTACAAGTATGATTTGAAATGGTCGCCGGTTCCCAGACTTGTATGCTTCCAAATTGGGGGTCTGGGGTGTTCGGGATTCCGCTCGCCTGGAGACCTCCCGAGGCCCTGGGAATTGCCCCAAAACATGTTTTCAGATGTTCGCCATCTCCGAGAATTCCTTGTCTTAACCAACCAAAAAATGAAGGCTTATAACGTTTCAGGTTATAAGGGGTCTGCGGTTTTCGGGATTCCTAGTCGCCGGGGGTTTGGGCTCTCGAGGATTTGTGTTTTTTTGTTTGAAATTTAAAAGTTTCGCTGGCCTCGAGGGTTTGCTGTTCTCGCCGGCTCCTTTTTCAAAATTCTTCATAGCAATTCTGAAATTAATGTAACAACATGGGGTCTGGGGTTTGGGGGATTCCCGGTCGCCTGGAGTCCGGTGCGGACGACCAGGGCGCGACTTTCCAGTCACCCCTCCCGCCCCCTCTTTGTCCTCCTCCTCGTCATCGTCATCATCAGCATCATCAGCATCATCATCATCATCATCATCATCATCGTCATCAGTACGAGCTAGGAGCTCCTGACCCCTTCAGACGCGGGGATCATCATCATCATCATCATCATCATCATCGTCATCATCATCATCGTCATCATCACCCTGCTCTCCAAAGCTTCCCTGGAGATCCCAGGAGGCATCAGGAGGTCCCAGGAGGAAATGCTCTCAGAGCATTTGCAACAGAAGTGATTTTTCTGTGGGCGCACTAAGGGCCTCCTTGGGAACCTCTTGGGGTCATCTGCAGCCTCCCCCGCCCCCGAGGATTCCTTAAGCGATTTAAGAGCTCCAGGAAGACACCATGAGGACGCCAAGAAGGCACCCCCCAGAGCACCCGCAACAAATTCATTATGTTGCGTTGCGGGTGCTTTGGAGGCGTTCTTGGGCTTGTTTTGGAGCGTTAAGAGGGTCCCGCGAGGGCTCCAAGAGGGCCCACTGGGGGCCTTCAATGAAGCAAAGTATCGCCCGCAACAAAATTTAATATGTTGCGACTGCTCGGGGGAACTTCTTGGGATTCTCTAGGAATTTGAATATTAGGCACCTTGTTGACCCAACCCCAGAGCCTTGAGAGAACTTCGCGAGGGCTTCAAGATTGCCCCAATAGGACCGCACGAATGCTCCCAGAGCGCCCACAACAGCATTCAGTTTGTTGTGATTGCTCTGCAGAGGAGGTGCTGCTTGAGGTCCTCTTGGAGCCCGATTGGGCCCCTGCCAGCACTCTCCAGAGCCTTACGGCTCCAGGAAGATTCCATGAGGACTCCAGGAAGCCCACCCAGAACGCCCGAACACCCGCAACACATTGAAGTATGGTGCGGATGCTTTGGAGGCCGTCTAAGGCTCGCTTGTATACTTAGATGTGTCGCAGATGTACGTATATCTATATATACGTGTGCTATCTCTACGTATGCATACATACATGCACGCATGCATGCACACATGCATACATATACACATGCATGCACGCATACGTACAGGCAGTCATACATACATACAGACAGACATGCATACATGCATACCTACCTACCTGCCTACATACATACAGACAGACAGACAGACAGACAGACGGACAGGCAGGCATACAAACATAAAGACATGCATACATGTATTTACCCAAACATACATATACACATACATACATGCATGCATACACACACACACACACACACACACATGCATACATGCATGCATACATACATGCATACACACATACGTACATACATGCGTGCATGCATACATACATACGGGCATGTGTGCGTTTACGTGTGTAAGTATACACATGTGTGCATGCGCATGTATGTATAACGGCATACGGCCGCAGGTGCTGATACCCCCCAGCTTCGCTTCCAGGAGGCCCCAAAGACGGGCCAACGGGCGCCGAAGGTGAGACCAGGATGGCCTCCGAGTTGGCATCGGGGGCCCGTTAGATTTTAAAGAAAAGAGGTCCCGCCTGCCCACCCTGCATGCCGCGGCCGCCGGGCCCCGGAAGGGGCAAGCATCCCCCGGTTGTCCCTCCTCGCGTCCTCGGCGAGTGACGATATCTTGCATACACCCTGGGCGATGCTTAAGAAAGCTTGCGTTTTCGGCCAGAGTCTCGGTTATTCTTAATGTTTCGATGTAAGTCCCAAGATTTTCATAGCAATTCTGGGCTTTTATTCAAATTCTCAGACTGTGAATTTCTTAACCCATGATTTCTTGAGCATTCCGCAGGGTGTACCGCTGCCGCCAGACCCCAAAGGGGGCAAGTGTCCCCTGGGTGTCCCGCCTCGCGGTCCTCGACGAATGCCCAAACACATCAAGGACGGACCCAACGACGAAGTCTCAAGAACAGATTCCGAAAACAAACATCAATACCAGACATCAACACAGACGCTAGGAGCATACGCCTTAATGTGCTGCAGCTGTCGGGCAGGATTGCTCGAGGCGAAACTTGTTTTTATTTCAAGAGCGTGGTCCAGCTTCCGACTCGGCCTCAATCAGAAGTTCTCCCCGTGCGTCACTCTTCAGTCCCGACCAATTCTTGAACGCCCCAGGACCGAGCAAGCAGACCCCCTAAGCCGAAACCAAACAGCATAAAGACACGAACAACAAAGAGTAAGCGATCACGTCGATGACCGACGCCCGACGATAGACGAGGAAGGGCAAACGAAAGACGATGACCGCGCAAAAGACGACGAAGGTGACGACGACGGCTACGGACGACGCGCGACCGACGACGGACGGCAGACGACGAACGCTTGCGAAATCATGGCGACTTCAAGCAGGTTGTTTACCCCTGATGACCCGTCGTCTTCACCCCGCTACTGGGTCACCCCTCCCTCTACCCTAGATAAAACTTTTTATATATCTGTAGATCCATACATACATATGGTTGCACTCCCCCCCCTAAGATCATGCATACCATCTTGCATCGTACTCATTTTCATCCCCTCTTGCTCATCTGTACCGCATGTACCTTCAGTGTGTGTGCGCATCATGCTCTTCCTCATTCATCCGGGTCCCTTTCGTCCCCCACCAACCATCATCCTCGTCATCCCCCTAACAGGTCCTCATAATATTCCTCCTGCCCATCCATCTTCCCTTTCTCCTCACCCTCCTCCTCCTCCTCTTCACCCTCCCCCGCTCCATCATCATGATCATCAGAATCTTAATCGTCATCATCAACATCATCATCAGCATCAACAGCATCATCAGCATCATCAGCATCATCAGCGGCATCATCATCAACATCATCATGGGTTCCCTTTGCTGTCACTCTTCATTCCTCCTCATCATGATCCTCATCCTCATGCTTCTCTTCCTCCTGCCTCCACCTCCTCCCCCTATCCTTCCTCATCCCCCTCATATTGCCTCCGCCTCCCCATTCATGTTCCACATTCATGAGTGTTGTTCCTCCTCATCATTCTCCTCC